TTAAGAGCTAGAGTCACCAAATCTGTCATGTAGCTTCTCGTAGTATATACAGATAAAATATGTTTTATTTTTGAGTCTAAAGCTTTCTACACAAGAATCGATCGATCGTATGGCAGCTACATGATATAATGGTTCGATCCGGACGATTCTGAAATATGTACTGCCTTCAACAGAAAGACGGACAAATGCAGTGCTGAGAAAATAACCTTAAAACTGAGATTCTAGTTTGCATTGCTTTATCAACTCGGCTCTTGATGTTGACCTAGAATATATAAACTTTATGTTAACATAGATATCACCCTTTAAGCGTTACACATTTCAGACAAAATTATAATACCATTTTTTACAACAGAGTATTTTTATTGGCAGTCCTTTTTCTTCATACTCGAATCAGAGCAGATTAAAGCAAGTTTCAACACAAAATCAATGGTCACAATTAGATAAATGGCTTACATAAATAGTTTTTGGTTAACAATTCTTAGACAATATTTTGCGGTATGCCAGATTATCAGTTGTGGTATAGGCAGACGGCACGAGACCAGCAGCTGAGTGCACAGCTGTATTCTTAAACTTAGAAAATGAGTGATGTGCATGTCTAAGTCCACACGGCATAGAAACACATCGGCAAAAGGCTTTGCACGTTTAATGCACTTCCTGTGCACGCGCGTCCTCGGTAAAGTCCTGCCTGCACTCAAAATTTAATGTGAAGCCTGCGACCCCAGCGTGGCTCCCGCAAGACCAGATGGAAGGTGAACTCATTTCGTGCCACAAGATTAATGTTTGTTTAACACTTAACGTGTTGTTTCTTTTCAGTATTTTCGTAAGATATCAAGGCAAATTCATACAAAAATATGATTTGGTCATATGCATGTTTTGCATTGCATCGCAATTGCAATGCTGTTGATAGAATTTAAAGAAGACGCGCAGTATACAGAAATTCTTGGAATTCTGGCTTCTAACTTCTATCTGCCGCAACAACGTGTTTCTTAACCGATCTTAATGCAATTAAGAGGCCCAGCGTAAGCACACGAAACATACATATGTTGTTTAACACATGAAGAAAAAATGTTTCGTTCTTTAAAGGCAAAACACGCATAAATATATAATGCGGTAGACTTGACACCCCTACATATGCAGAATGTGATGTGTGCTCAACGTCTCGATTGCAGTCACACTCACGGTTGGGAATTAAATATTCTCTCTAAAAAAGGGTAAGCCACATGCAAGGCATCTCATGCCTAGAGATATCAAGTATTTCGGATAAATAAATAATGTATAGTGACTTATAAAAACAGTCAATGATGCTTGAATAACGAAGCAGTAGAGTGTCCTGCAATACCTGTAAGAGACAGTTCCAGACAGCTATACAAATTTATGTACACATGGTAATGTGTTCACAAATTTATGTATGGCTATTTGTTCAGTTGAAAGCTTGCATAACTGTATTAAGGAAACCCCTTAATATTTCAACATTTGAGGGAAACAAAATCACCATCATTAATATGTAAATATTTATAAGCAAAAACAAGTAATAATGCTCTAGTCGGGTCTAGTGGCCGACTAAGGGATACACTGAGCATTCTTCAACCAACGCCAAAATGCCGCCAAAGACATCCTTGCAGCAGTAGGAAAATACTCGCAACTGACCAGCCAACTATATCAGCCATTCCCCCGCTCGCTCGCATAGGTAATTTCTTTCCATTAGCCACAGGATAGCCAAATTTCACAAAATATTAGCAATAGTACCATGTCAAAGGCAGGCAGACAGAAATGCGAGCGCTCAAGAATTTGCTGGAGGCAAATTATTCGAATTGGGCAAGGGCAAACAATGCTGTCGGGGACGCTCGCTTTTCGAGTTCATTGCCTTGCTTTCGGCCGTATCTTTGACTCCGTTCAACAAAAGCAACCGTGCCACTCTGTTGGCCAAAAATTCCTGGATATTTACAAACAGTGGTTTATCCTCAGTCACTGGAATTCCCTTGCTGCAATATTGCGCAGAACAAAACTAATATGCACAAATATTTTTGCTGTATCTAACATTTTTTGCCAATTTATTCTGATTCAGCTTACAAAAGACTTAAACCCGCATTGACTGCAGTCAAAGGCAAGCCACCTTGTTGGATGTCCCGAAACTTAGAACAATAAAAATTGACAATTGCAACTAGGGCCGAGCTTCAGCCTCAAACCGGATAACAATCCTGTGTACCTAATTATATATATCTCCAAATGGCTAATTTAAATAGTTTTTTATTTAAATCCACATCTAGCGACTACTCGCCGTCAAGTAGAGTACACACATGTTAATTATAATTGAAGTTGGGATTCAATTAGCTAATTGGATCCTTTCCAATGCGGCTTGAGGAAAATTACGCTTAAACAATATTTATTTCTTAACGGTTCAATATCTCTTTTGCAAGGAAGGCACCGCATCGTTGTCTCGCGTGTGATTTTACTAGTTTACTTTTATGTGCAGATAAACAAGAGTTTATATTAAAAAGAAATCGGAAGAGGAGTTTGAAATTAAGCTATGAATAAATTCATTTAGGGTTGGTGCTGAAATTTGTCCTGGATCACGATTTTTCAGTCTTCCAAAGAGCATCCCTTAAGAAGCGGTAATAAGAGGCTCAATGAAATAGGTTTTCAAATATTCATTCCCTCTACATTTATTTCGTTGTATCCGATCATGAGACTGCATGCAATTTTTTGTCTGAAATGCCTCCGTCCAGTTCTACCACAACTATTTACCAAAATTCTATCGTAATTTCTTCATTTTTAATAGCATTTTATCTTAATATATATAAAACTGATTGTCCTGACAGACAGACTGACTGATTGGTAATCGGCACGCAGTCCAAACTGCAAAAGTTAAGAATCTGTAATTTTCACTGTAGATAGCTTATGTGATGAAATTGAACGGTAAGTCAAAGTTTTGGGAAATTCCATCCGAAAGTGTGGAATTGTCGATCGGCCTCAAACTCAATAACAAAGATCTTTGTTCAAATTCATTTAAGGGGGTGTTGCGTGATGTTTCGGGTCTTTAAGAACGTTCCACCCGCAACTGTGGAAATTTAAATTAATTTGGAAATGGGTTTAATAAACGAAAGTTTAGACTTTAAACATTTTACATACATTTTTGGCACGGGCAAGGCTGGGTTATACTCACTAGTGTATGTTTATACATACAATTAAGGTTTTACACACGTTATGTTGTATAAATACAAGTTTTATTTTCCATTTGCAACGCATGTGTATATATCTCAGATAATCTGAGAAGCTTATACTACAGTGGAAATAAAAGTGATAAATGGCCGTAACGTGACCTGGCATTTGTAAGAACTGTTTCCCACCTTGGATATCCTCGTTTCAAAGGCAGCTGTGTCTTTAGTTTAAACTCTGCCAGGATATTTGGAGTGGGGTCTTCAATTGCGTACGTGCAAGAGCCTGTCAACGTATCATGGCAGTCATCATTTTATTCCTTTATACAATGCAGAAGGGGATTTTTGTTTTGACATTTTGCAATAATTATGTCACTTTTTGAACTAATATAGAGTTATTTATACACATTGATTTTACATAAAGGCAATTTATTTGGTTTTGTATCAAAATTGTATCAAACGTATTAGGTAATTTAATTGGGTTGGGTTAAATTGTAGCAAGCATAAATTTATTTGAATGCTTATCCTGAATCCTTTCAAGATCTCATCTGCGTATTTTGCATCTTATCTAATATATGCAGTGCCGAGATAATTCTGGTCCTCCAATAGCCCAAACCTTAGCCCATTTCTACTTACCCTAATTGGTGGGCAATACAAGTTGGGTTATTAACTTGATTTATAGCTTTATGGTGGTAACGGGGAGCTGACGATAGGTACAAAATGAAAGATACTTGATATATGTATATTCTAGAAGCAACATATCAAGTTTGGTGGCTCTAGCTTTTATTATTTACCCAGTTTGCTTAAAAAACAGGATTTTGATATCGATTGCATGGACGAGGAGTAAGAAATCGATTGGTGTGGCTGTTGAATAGAGGCGGAAGCAATTCATGCGATCAGTTGCGAGTTCGAACTCTGCTTTCCGACTAGAACCTCTTTTTTTTGTGCTCGTTTATAACTATTTCTTCTTCTATTATTCCTGTCTTTCATTCGTTATGTAATTGAGAACAGAACCAATAAACAAATAACATATAAATAAGCATTTTTCATTACCCTCTGATGTGCCCATACACACACATGTGTGTGTAGAGGTCGAAATTTAGAAATGACAAAACTAAATAAATAATTAATAAAAATTATACCTTCTATATTTGCCTTTAATTTCATTTTTGAAGAATCTAGAGTGAATTATTTTTCATTTGCTACCGAAAAGTTAAATGACAAATGTTTTTCCATTACTAATAACCAACTTAATATTTGTTAAACTATCAAATATGTGAAACTGGGTAATTTTAACATCCTATACAGTTTTATGCTAACTGCTAAGCGTTGAACAGTTGACAGAGCACTGATATCAACGTAACAAAAATAAGTTCCTATAAATGTAAGTAGCTCTTTCAGTTTGAGAGTCACTGTACAATGCTAATATTCAAATAGCTTCCAAGCATCAATATATATTTTATTTACACAGTATTTTTACTATAATAACATAACAATATACATATAATATACGAATTTAGAGTTTTTACACAGTCGAATGTGTTTTCGAATACATTCGTATAGATATAAAATCTAACTAAATTCTAAAAATAAAACTCACAATACTCCATTGTTCAGAACAGGCAATGCCATATTGTTGTGGTTGCACTACCTAGCTTTACTTATGTTAATCTTTGGGCAACTTACGAGCTTGGCAAGTTGACAAAGTTTTCAGTACAGCTTTCCATCGAATAAAGGAGACATCCCCGGGCCGTTGGCGCCGAAAAATGGCATCGATTGATTTCAAAGCAAATGATTTGCGTTGAACAAACTATGAGCCGAATGCGAATCGAGTACTTCGGCGCTCTACGATGATGCAGGGGTGCCATAAAGTAAATTGTCCAATTTCAATTTGTTTATCTTATCAGCAGTGGGTGCCCCGTGCCCGGGACGTCCCCAGAACGTTTCGAATGTGTCGAAATGCTGATTACACAGGTCCCGGTCCATCTGCCTGGAGACGCTGACCGAGCGCCGTTTCTCGGATATTTGCACATTTAAATCGTGCAGGTAGCGCATATCGGCGGCCGTTTGTATCCTGCAAGGAATTGCCCCATTGGGTGGTTGGTTATGCAGTCAAGGTCGATGTTGGCCAATGGCGATGGGCAGCAACGAGGTTGGGTAAATTGTTGATTGTTGCATTGATAAGTCGTTTGTTTTAAGTGTTTGTTTTGGTATCGATTCGGTTTTGGTTTCGTTTTTGCAAACGGATTTTGCACGGGGATACATAGAAGATTTGTATTATGATTTTGATATTGTTGTTTGTTCAATTTGTTTGGTGAGTTTGGGCCTGCTTTTTGGTTGCTATACTTTCACTTGGATTACAATTGATATTTTCGTGCTGCATGAGCCAAAAGAATTGATAGAGAAACCATTAAAAAAAACACAAAGATGAAGCATTCGTCGCAAATTATTTTCAATTGCTATGCATTTTGTAAGCTCAACTCAGATTTGGTATTTGCGCAGAGCAATCAAATGAGAAACAGCTACAGTATTGTTTAGCGTAATGCTAACAGACACGCGAATACGGATGCAAGTGCAACACACAGATAACGAATCATAATTAGAAACAGAGTCAGATACAAAGACAACAACGAAACACAGATAGACAGTTTGAAATGGACTTCGATTATCGTATGTGCACTGTAAGGCGCTTGAGGCAACACCCGGCCGCCCGAAGCGGCGTCATGGTTGGGGTGCAGCCGCAATCGCAGCACTGCAACTTGCAGTTCAAATTCTTGGAAGGCCGCTTTATGTGACTAATGTTTTTGATGATATTGCTGATGTTCTGCTCTTTGTTGGACTTTGTCTTGTGCTTGGGTGGTGCGTACCTATCATGCGAGGGTATCCTCTTCGTTACATCCGTGCTAGATAGACTGATGGGCCGGTTTAAGCCGCGCCTGCGCGCCAGCAGTGGCACCAGCTCAACGCCTGCTCCATTCTCCGTACTGGCATCCGGTGTAGCTGTACTGTTGCCAGTTTCGCCCGTACAGTGCCCTCGCTGCACCCGTGGGCATAGTTTTACAGGCTTGCATTCTTTGGGCGGTGATCGCAGACCACATGCAGGCGCATGCGGCCCCGCAGCTGCAATCTTTCTAGACGATTTTAGTGGACTCAAGGTGTTCACGGCGGGGCAAGAGCAGGTGCAAAGCTCACAACAGCGCTGGGGCTTAGAAGGCTTGCTGCCCCTCGATTTGCGAAATGTGTTTTTCTCAGCGGGAGTTACGGGATTGTCCTGGTCGAGCTCCTTAAGCATTTCCTTATTCGTCCAGCCCTGCAATCAATTCAACATGTGTGGAACTGTCTGAACTCGCTTTCAAAATGAACCTTACCATCGATTTCATAAAAGTGTTGCCTACTTCTTTGGGACTGCGCCAGGGCTTGCCACCAGGGCCGGCCTTGCCCCAGGGCTCTTTGCACAGCTGAAAGAGTGAAATTATTATGCATTAATAACGCTATGCCGCCGTGGACAGTAGCTGCTGCTCACCGGCTTTTCCAGCTTTGTCTGTAGTTTCTTTTTTTGTGAGACAAGCTTTTGCTGCAGAGGATGGTCACCCTCACTATTAGCAAGAGTCTTGTCTAGCGTCGGCTTGCTTTTGCACGGTGGGGGAGGCCTGTATCGTAACTCAATGTCCACATGCCCTTTATTGCGAAATGACATTGAGGGGTGCTCTTTCAGTTCGATGTGCACACTCTCACCATTCGCATTGTGGCCCAGGCTGACACCAGCCTTCACGGGATGCTCGCGCTCACAGATGGTCACAATGCTGCTCCGAGGTCCGCTCTCTCGCAGATGATGAATTGAATGCGCGTGTGTCATTCGGCCGCCCGGCTGAGGTGGGTAAGCATGCTGATGGTGATGGTTATGGTAAGCCGCCAGCGGGCTTTTGTAGCAATTTTTCTGCATGGAGAAGTAATCATTGTAGCGGCATGGCTGCAGCGAGTTAATGCGATGGGCGGTAGTCTGCAGCACAGAAATGGTAAGCATTTTACAATCAAAGCCTACCCTGCACCAAACTTACAACTGTTGGCGTTGAGTGCAGACCGACAGCGGTAATATCCTTGCGTCGCACCTCCACGTTGGGAGCGCCACCACCCGGCCGACCCCAGGGGCAGTGCTGCAGAAACAAATCGTAGTACTGCAAAAAATGAAGAGTCATTGGCAACAGTCGAATTTGCCTAATGTACCCATTTATGGTTTTCGCTTTATTGATTCCCTAGCAGCCTATATTCGGCACCTGGCCCACTCTGTCTATCCATCCTTCTGTCTGTTTACGGAAATTGCCATTGCCCAACCTCATTTTGGTGCCTGCGAGGACTGCTGCTCGCTATTTGCTTGTTTCGCTTGTTTTTAGGTTGTTGTTATAGCTGCGAGGTGGCTCGCTTTGCTTTTCATTCATTTTCTTCATCTTTAATTCCGTCGGAACTGAGTCACATTGGCAATCATAAGCACGCGAGCTGTTGTAGTTAAGCTTAGTGACCGACTATGTTATTTCTGGTTGTGGGCTCGTCTTTATTAAAAAGTAGTCAAACTTGTCAAATCGTTTGTTGAACCAAATTCTAGCATTACATTTTGCTTGTCATAGGTCATTGAACTCGACTTAAGTGCTTGTTCTGGCGTGGGTGTAGTTGTAAGGATACAGGATACCAGAAAAAGGCGCCGTTTAAAATAGTTTAATATAGTTATAAGATGTCGATGTTATTTCCCACTTTTTTACTTTTTTTACTTTACTCATTTGGTGGCCTTATTTTGAGAGACCGCTACTAAAACTACAGTTTACAATCTGATGAAATTTACTGTTTAAAAGAAAAACGAGTAAGAGGTCTCTAGCCGGGACTGCCGGGCAAGAAGATACCTTGGACTGATCTGCGCGTGCCATATTAGGACAAAGCGAAAAAAGAGCATCAATTACATCTACTGATTTTTTGCAATACAAATTTAGAAGCTTTTATTTGAAAAGACTTACGTAATAGTCATTATATATAAATTTTTTTAAAATTTTTTTTGAATAGAATAAATTGCCTTTATGCTTGAACAGCCGCACTAACATTCGGATTATTAGCGAACAAAATCTACTATATGAAAATCGACATGGCAAGTTTGGTTACTATAGTTCTTAAATCTTAAGATATCTGTTCAAAAGCAATCATTTGAAACAAATTTGATCTGCGCTGCCAATGGGCGGACCTATGCAAGTTCCAAATTTCAAGAGTCTTCCAGGTTCTGAGAACGACGTATTCATACAGACGGGCGGACGTGGTTAGATAAACTGGGCTAACAATTCTGATCAGGAAGGAATATATTACACCTAATTCTGTTCTTACACGGTTTGAAAATAACAAATTTTAATTTTGTATACACGATTTTAAACCATTTAGCACGATTCTTAATCTTTTAGTCTTTCCTTCCTGTTACATACTTTTGCACAAAACCGATATACCCTTCTTACCCATTTTGAGGCTATAAAAAGTTTAGAAGGGTGAATAGTTAAAAGATATGGGTAGTACATGTCTACTCCTGCCTGCTAAATACACTCCCTTGTCCGTCACGATTTCCAAAATCGTAATTATTATTTCCAATGACTTCTGTACGTTTACATTATTAAATTAAAATCATCGGTCAACACTTACCTTTGCAACACTTCTAGATACTTTTTTAAAAATTAAGATACAAGGTACAATCTGGTATTTAATGACGCTCAATAAAGCATCAAGGTTTTTAAGTGTAATTAAAAATGTGGAAAACTTGTTACTTCTTAATAGCTTGCCTTTAGTCTGCGTAAAATGCTCAGCCAAATATGAGATTTCGGTTAAAATGATTAGACAGAGGGTTAGGCCCCACAACGCATGTTGCAGGAGACCAAAAGCTTAAAATTGAATAAATAGATCATTTGATTAAAATCTAATTAATTTAATAATTCATTACCATTCATTACCACTCTAATTTTATTATCTTATTAATATTTTTGAATGTTAATAAATACGAACTCACATGATATTTGAAGAATCAATTATTTGACAATATACGATATTTACCTCCTGTTTATCCTTCTCCTTGCGAGCACATTCCTCAGCCTTGCGACGTCGCCACATACGTAAACTCTCCTCGGCATTTTTGCGTTCGATTAGGCGCTTCTTATCATCGCACCACATCAGCGGGTGTTGGATGTGGTCGTGGCAGAAGGTGCCCATCTCATCGCTAGTTGTCATCCTTGCGAGCAGCTGGAAAGCGGAAGTAGTGTCACGTTCGGCAAATCACGCTCTACTGAAACAGTTCCGTGCACAACCTAAGCCTTCCACATCACAGTCGAGTAGGTCGTCGAGTTGGCTCCCTGATCCGTGCCTGGTACGGTTATTGGTCTCAACTTTCAGCCTGCCAAATCAATTTGGTTGTCTAGGCAGCGTCGCTAGCCAGTTAGTTATTTATAGTCTAGGTTAAGTCGGTGCACAAGCTGCACGTGAGCGGCGCGCATGTCCTTGAAGCCAGGATTGCACATAGTTTGCATAACTCGCTCTGGCTATTTAAATATTTTGCCAGTTACGCACCCTGCCGCTGCCGCGTTTGTTTGTTTGTAATTCCGGGCCGTCTCGTTTGCTGAGCCCAACGAGGATTGGACATAAAATAAACTTATTTTGTAGTGAACTGCAGGCACTGTTGTTTTTAGTAAACTATGCCACAGTTGCCCTAATTCGACCCGATTCCTGTGTTTTTCGCATCAAAATAGAAAGTTCCCAAAACTCGTCAATATTGAATTGGGGCTTGGGGGTTTCCTGCTGCAACACTTCGAGCATGTGCTGTAAAATATTGCGTGTGGCACTCCATTGTTAACGTTAACCCAATTAAGGAGCTCTTGCAAACTTGTTGATGTTTGTTAAGCTGGGCATAGCTGCGAGCTCGGAATGTGTCAGCTAAATGAGATTCACTTAAGCCTATCTGACCTCCATTACTCACAATGACTTGTTTGCTTAGTTTATTTTTACTATCAGTTTTTGCCAATGGCCTTTTCACTAAAGTGCTCATCAATCAGAATGTTTAAGGGTTTTAAATTTTTATTATATTTTTTATTGACATCATCGTCGGCATGTCTTACAAAATTGTATTTTATTCATGTTTTTCGTAATATAACTATAATTATCAAAACAAAGTCATTTATTATGACCAATTACCCGAGCACCCATGTGATTTTCTTGCTATCCAAATATAGCGATGTATTAAAGTTGTTTCATTTTACACGTTTATAAAGGTGCCTTTGGCTTAACGAGACTACTTCGAAAACCGCACAAGGGACTGAAATCAGTTTAGGGCTGCACTATTAATTATTATTATTATTACAAATGGTTCTTAAATAAATTTACATTCATTAAACATTTAATTTAATTCGTTTTACAAAAATTGTTCTCTTGGTATTGGACCAAAAATAAACCATGTTTGTTTATATTTTTAAATTAAGACTGGGTAGTATTGTTTAAAGTGTAATTTTTCTTTTTTATTACCCAAATGGTTTTAACTAGTAATAATTGGTGATTATATAAAAATTTTGTGCATTTCATGCACGAGCGGTTCAAAACTCAGGTAATTTCATTAAAAGAAGTTTACAAAAAAATAGATAAGAAAATTTATAAATCAGAAGTTTGTGCTTGTTAAATTGGTGGCGAAGTGCATGAAGTGATGATTGAACCATTTAAGCATGAAATGTCGTAAAAAAATAAAATAAAAAACAATTATAATGTTATTTTCTTAATTCATTAAGCATTGCTTGTAATATATACTATATATATTTATATATATATATATATATTTTTTTTTTTTTTTGTGTTTGCATTGACTAATAACATAGGAGACATTTAAATTTATCAAAAATCTCAAACTGTAAGAACTGATATTACTTTTAACTAAGCAAATTTACAAATTTTTATATTTGCAAAGCTTAGCTTTCATCAGTTTTTACAACTTATTATTTATGTAATGTTTGCTGTGCTTCACAAATAATCGTATGTGGTTTTTTAAAATACATATAGATTTTCAAAAACATTGCATATAAAGTTTAATAAAAATTCTTTTTGAATTTTACATGTTTGTATATACAACGTACGTGAATCGTATTTCCGCCAGGTAATTTCTTACAAAATTTTGTTTACATTTTATGCAATTATTTACAGTGTCAACAACAATGCTTAAAAACTAAATAATAAATGTTGTCTTTACCATTTTCTAGTTTTCTTCCTACAAATTTTTGCTTGTTTCTCTCATTTGTTGACTTAACTAGCATTACGTGTTGCCTGCCTGCTTAAAACTTAATTTTATATGTGTATATATTAATTTGTATATATTTTATCAATCCTATTTCATACGATTGATGACTAAGTCGGCAACAACTTGGAGCCCCTTTTGATAGGGAGACTCCGTCAACTCCTGTGCCAGACGTATCGCCTCATTGCAGTGCTTCTTAGCCAGAAAACGCGTTTGCTCTAGTCCATGCGACTTGTGTACCAGCTCAAAGGCCCGCTCTACGTCTCCAGGTTCGCTGAAGCGACGCATTACCATTGGGTTGAGCTCGGGATACTGCAAGATAAAACATCAAATTGTTGTTAGTTATTGTAAGAGTTTTCTATACATAGCGCTATCCTCACACTCAGGTGGGCTCGGTCTCGGGCCCGCATGCCAATGCGATCAGTCAGACACATTATCATTAGCCTCTATGGCCTCATGATACGCATGTACATGGCTAGTTTTAACTATTTAACTGGCTATCTTAGCGATTGGTACACTGCTCGCTTTTGTCACTGCTGTTGGCGTTGGCGTTTAGAGCGCTGCTTAAAACGCATTGCACGCGCGTGCTAATCGCGCTTCGCATAATAAACTGAGAGTCGTTTTTGATGTGAAATCGAAAACGCCTTACAAACGCATTTGATGGCACACGATGCATACTCCCAGCAGCACTATGATATCATCAACGTCATAATCAAGCATAAAGCACCAAGTTGAAAATGCACATAGCTACCAATGCAAACACAGTTCTGAACAATTAGCAGATGTTGCGACAGGTATGAACATTATTTAATATATACTTTATAGCCGGCGTGTTGTCACAGCAATGAGGAAGTCAGGCCGGGGCTTACCTTTTCGCATGCAAAGAGGACCGGCGCTGTAGCCAGGCCCAGTTTTAAGTCAGCTGCTGTTGGCTTGCCCATTTGTTCTGTGGAAGAGACAAAATCCAGCATATCGTCTACCAGCTGAAAGGCTAGACCAATATTGCGTCCATATTGAAAGGCCACCTCGGCAACATTGTCATCGGCCTGGGCGATGACGGCGGTCTGTGAAAACAGAAATTCAAAGTCAATTGCTGGCCAATCAACTGTCCAAATGGGCACAATGACAAACGCATTCGACCAAATCAATTTGCAGCCTACTAATTGCATTAATATTTGCAATTGCAATAACAATCGCATTTTGATTGCCGGGATTACTCACCGCCTTCAGTGCATTTGCAATCAGCGATGCGGTCTTCCTGTAGGTCTTGGTCAAATAGTGTGCAAAGCGCTCGTTCTCCGTTTCCCTCGAGCCGAGCTGCATGAATTCGCCTTGGACCAAATCTGTTAAAATCTGAAGAAGAAAAAAACGTTAATAAACAATTTGTTAGCAGTTTAGTGTCATGTTTGCTGTTTAAATCTAAGTTCGCCTTGGTTGATAGGACAGGACCATAACAGAGCAACGTTGCTCCAGTCAAAAGTGCCCGACCAGGAGCTGCCCTGTATCCAGTTTTGAATCGCCCCCAGCCCTACATATTAATCATTTATTCGTGAATTAGATGTTTTGTCAATGGTCGACTGTACAATTCTTACAGATTACAATCCAAAAACTTATATTTAGTCTGTCAATGCTGATCGAAAACCCATGTATTTCTCTTGGTACCCTTGGCAGTCATATTTGAATTCTCGTGATATGATTTTAAAACGGAAGCTACTTATTAATTTCGATCGGTTTTCAAGAAACGAAGAGATTTATTTATAAATTATTTCATAGTGCATATGTTTGTTTCGGAATAAGGTCGTCGCGTTTCTTACAATTTTAAGCAACATATTTCTTTATATTTCTTTCCATAAGGTTTGATATTCCTTAATTACGTATACGATAACTGTTAAGCGGGTATAACCCGGCCTTGCCCATGGCACCTATAAAATAAATTGTCAAAGATATTTGAGTTTGAAACCAATGGGACGGTAAACAAAAACTTTCATAAAACCGTTTCCGCTAATTTACCACTGTTGCGGGTGAAGTTTCCCAATCGAAAATAAGTTTGAAGCATATCGGACAAAAATTAAAACTTCACCAACGAAATCTTTGAATCGCATTTTTTACCGAGGAAGCTTGGATTATGCAAGTGTGAAAGACATCTCAAATGATTTTTTATACACATTCTTGGAAATGTAATTGAGTTCGTAATGTCACCTGCAAAATCTTTGACCCCCATTTTCATCAATGGATTTAAAGAGAAAAAAATGCGAAACACCCATCATATGAATTTTGACAAAGATCTTTAAAAATGTTATTGAAGCCGATGAAGGACGGTAAACAAAAAACTTTCGTAGAACCGTTTTTAGTTTGAAGATTTTTAGAAGATGAATTATCTATGGTGTTCCATTAGGGTAAAAGGCATTAGGGTAAAGGGGCAGCGAAATACTCTTTCCAATTGGATTGCTGACTGTATGATTCCAGCTATAAAACTACGTTTAGACAGATAATCGGCTGTGTGTGAGGCCACTTTTTAAATTTACATAGATAATATGCTTATAGATACTTGCGGGTAGCTTCCGCATGGCTGACTGTTCAAATGAATAGGGCAAACACAGATGTGCCAAATAGTTGGTGTAAATAAAATTTCATTGAGAGCAAGATGATCGGAGGGTGGATAGTGCCACACCAAAGATAAATGAATGGACATAAAATAACCGTCCGAGGGTTATTCCTTAAATAACAAAAATATATGTAATTTCGAATATTGGCTTTTCGATTCGACTGGGCTTTTATTACAGGTTTTTGATTTATCGTAAGATACCCACGATCCCATCCGCAAAAAGTTTATGAAGGGTAATAGGTCACACTGAGTACCAAAGTTTTTAGGAAATAAGAAAAGAATTTCAAATAGAAATAAACACATTTATGAATGGGGGGAGTTAATATGATTTGTAAAACAAATTTATATGCCAAT